CTGCATGCGCTGTGTTTTGCGCGGATTTCAGCAAACAAATTAAATGCGCTTCGTTCGACAGAAAATTTGTACTCAAATGCCTCCCTCTCTTGTGCAGTGTCGGGTCGATCGGATATTGCCGGAATTACAAGCTTTAATGCAACAGGTGATAATTAGGTGGCGGAGCACATACTAGCCTTATCAGCCGCTGATTCCTTCCACCTTATGCACATTATTTCATAAAACGACCAAACCGTTCGCCAAGATATTTCAGATTAGGACGGAATCTGCATCAAAATTTAGCCTTTCTTCCTTGAGTTGTAGAAGTATGACGATAAAAATTCCATTTCAGATCATTCAGAATCCTTTGTTCCTGACTACTGATGACATCGAGCTTTGGCAGATGTCTGTTGAAGGTGGAAAGCGTAACCAATATCAAAGTAAACTATGTGTGCATTTCGTGGCAATTCAATTACGCCATTATTGGTAAATTACAATTGACACGGGTTCGTATAGTTCGGTAACTCTACAAGGCAGTTTTAGTTGAATTTTCCATTACTGTGAAGAAACAGAGATATCCATCACAGTTCTCCTCATTTAGCTGAAAATGATAAGATAATTCCTTGAAAAACATTACAGTTCGTTAGGTCAGAGCACGCATTTGTCACATGACGCGATAAACTAAAAACGATGTCTAGCGTTTTTGTTCTTTAGAACAAAGGAATCCAACGTTTAGTTTCAAGTGCTTTCAGATAGAATACAACTGAAAATTTAAGTACGCTCGTAGAATACGAAAGGTCGACCTTCACGTTTTTCAGGCTGTGTCACAGCACACCAGTAACTTATCCCATATAAGTAGCTTGAAAAAAGCGAAATCGCCAAAACGTCAGTGTTCGATGTTGAAAGGAGAAATGTCAACCCAATGCAAGTCGTATTCAACGAGGAGAACAACTCGCAAGATATGCGTGTACGACGTCAGAGGGCACGCCGTATTTATTTCATATTCATTGTACACGACCCGTCATCAAAATTTACTGTGGTGAGGAGTCTAACACTTCTAGCATTCGATCTATCTCCTCGCATCCCGTATCCTCCACGAAGGCCTTCGAATAATCCACGCGCTGCTTCGACTGGTGCTTGAGAATTTCGTTCTCCACGAATGTCATTGAGTGCTGGTTCAGGCGATTCTCCTTTCAATTCTGAGAGTAGCCGAGCTAAGGCGTCCCTCCGCGTTCAGTTGCTTGATTGCAAGAAAGTTTTGGCAGAGGGGATCGAATTAGCATACCAGTTGTCGCTTCGCTTTCTGAAACACTGCTTCGTCTACCACAAAATCTGCACTCATACTCTCTATTGGTAATCACACTCATATTGCATACCGTTAGATGCGCCTCACATGGCAATTATTTGCCAGCTCTTCATCTTATCAGTCAATGGTCGATATCACTTGCAACTACTTACGAAGCGGCGAAATGATTCACGCAGAAAACCGGTGGGTAATGGATACCTTTATAGAATGTCTATAATGATTCGGCACCGTCGATTTCGTTCTGAACGTTTTGTGAACACTTGAAAAATAATTGAAAAGCCATATTCCAACGTTTTTCAAAAGTAAAGCAGTCATTCAGATCTACACATAAGAGAAAACCTAGTCTTGAGTGTTGGAATCTTGTGTCATTCACCTCAGGGCTGCGGATATTTCAATCGGTGAGCATTCGCTGATGTTGCAAACTGAATGAATTTGACTTCATATCGAAGACCCTCTTGTTGGAGAAATTATAAATGGTTCGAAGTGAAAGGTCTGGATGGTGGAAAAAATTCTTCGAGTATTTTTTTGTTAAGAACAAGACTGTTAATTTTTTTTAGATTGGATCGATGAGTGCTTTATTTCTGATCGGTGGTGTTGGTTCGCATTTCTGTGCAACTTATGCTGCTATGACCATCTCAGCTCTGGCATCCATCGCAAGTATCACACTTGTTCTTGCCTATCTATTTGATTTGCATATTGTAACCACAAGTGTTGACTGGATGTTTTGGGTGAGTTCAATAAATTCTTATTCTTCGGCTATGCATTAGCATTAATTGGAAAAATACAGGGCTTATAATCGGACTTAAATTCTTCGTAGAGCAATAAAACTTGAGGAACTTTCGGAAGGCATCCAAAAAGTCGGCTCAATGACTGACTTCAAATTAATCCATCAAACTATTGAAAATTCGGTGAACAAATATGGTTCAAAATTGCCTTATGTCTCCTCGTATTCATGAACAACAGAAGAGATTGAATTTGCGTGTAGTTCTGGTTGCTACTTGACGACGTGGTATTTTTGATGGAATTCCTGGAACAAAGGTCAAGTCAGATGTCTTATGAATCTTGGAATACTGTTGGAGTGTTGCTAGATCTTCATCACAGGCGGCAAGTGGCATCTTCAGTTGATTGGAAGGAGCTTGGAATGGCACCGGTTTACCTATCTCGGTTCTAAGAGGCATGATTGGCATGGAACGGCTTGGAATCAGAGCCATGTTCGTGATGAACCATCCAAAGTTTAGAAACAAGAATTTTCACAAGTCACCTGATCTAAAGAATCCGAAGTTTATGGAACGCTGGCGAAACTAAAGGTGGAGGCGACTTGTTTCTGATTTTCTCATGAATAATTCACAGTAGCCTTAACGAAAACGGTAAATTTTGTATATGACTGGGTTTTAAGGCTAGCATATGGAAATTGCCATAGAGGCTTCAAGGACGTACATTTACTTTTACTTTAGTATTAAGAGATCGAGCTGTACAGGAAGTTCAAGACCCTTAATTATAAACTCTTTGACCACATGGGCAAATTAGAAAGTTCATGAATTTGCGCTATGATGGTTTTCTCTTTCGATATTTTTCGTCTACAAATTCGCAGTGAGAGCCATTGACATGATGACTGATCAACCACACCTGGAGCTCTCTACGGAATTCAGAAGCATCTTGAACAACCACTTGAAGTCATCTTTTTTTCATTTTTCTTGCATAATTAGATGAAAAATATACCCCAGTAATATAGATTTCTTAAGAGATTCAGACTGATCATATTGCGATTCTCAATACAATTCCGGTAAAATATGTATGGGGTGCGGCAGGTCAGTAGTGCTGATCTCGTTCTTTTAACACATGCAAAGTCTTGATTCGACCGTCTCCCGAACAAATTATGCGTTAGAACACTCCATGGCACCCGACTTTTCGTGGATTACAATTCACGAAAGCTGGTGGCTCTTCAACAAAGATCTGGCAACGCTCTACCACAGTTACCTTAGGGGTTCAAGGAGAATCTGTCTGACCAACATTCAACGACATATGATAACGACTCGAGGACTCAGCAGCAATTAGCCAACGCGTAAATCCAACGACTAAGATGATGGATGCGAGTGAACGAATCGTATAAAAGAGTTATCGGGGTACACGATGTGATCTTGAGTTATGTGAAAAAAAGTTCGAATAAATTCTTTGTGACACGATATCAGAAAAGCAATGGTTTTTCCGAAATGTCTTTTCACAATGAAAAAGCGTCAATACTATCTGCCCTTGTATTAGCGTTCTTCGCTACGAACTACGATAGTCGAAGAGTATCATGTAGAGTACTTAACCAAGATAACAATTAGTTCATAAAGGTATCTTGCAGATCACATAAATTCATGTTATAACCCTAAGGAGCACTATGTGAATCAACAGCCAGTTTAAACGCATTCAGTCAGTTGTGGAGACATTCTGTATACTAAAAACTCGAGGACTAGTTCGAAAATCACGACATTAATGAGTAATTTTTGCCAAAATAATTACATTTCTTGTTGTATTCATGAATTTAAACTATGTTTCTACTAAGCATTCCTTAATGTGGCTTTCTCAATCTCTTTGCTTTCTTCAGGGCCACAATGATATGAGTTAAATATCTACCGTTGTTCGTTCTTGAGATGTAATTCTTCGTACTCATCATGCTGAAAAAACCATTTTTCATTCTAGGAATCTCTTTATTCTGGTTCATTCGCCTTCCTTTTTCTGATCAATGTCATAGTGATGACTTATAGTAGCATTCGATGGGGATATACATTATGGTGGCTTGCTACGGTATGTTGATGAAAAGTCAGATAGGAAAGCCATTATTTGGCACCGGATAGGCATTGGATATTGATGTTTGATTGTTTCGGATCTTCTGAAAAATCAACAAGAATATTTTCGCAGGTAGTATGTTTTCTGGATGGGTTGGCATTTCTGGCCGATCTGATCGCTGTGGTGCGAAACGAGCTGATAAGGCGAAACGCTTGTCATGGCACTGACGATGTTCGACGTCATCTACCAGCCTCCAATTTCCAGGAAAGACAAACACATTTGAATAATGATCTATGAAACCCCTTCTAATGCATGAAATATATGGCTGCAGTTAATAAAACTTTCGCGCACACCATTTTAGTAATCATGTACATTAACACATATGTACAAGATGAGAATCCACAATTTCCTCCTTTTGTGACCTCCTACATTTTGAGTAGTCTATCGTCTTTGATATAGTAAATTTCCATGTCAATATGTATTATTCGATTTAAATATTGCTACCCCGATAGCGCAAAGGCATTGGTGTTCAACATTACAAGCATGATCCATTTCGACTTAGCACAAACTAACCAAGCCTCACCTTCCTTAGTTCGGCGAACTGGTATCATATTTTCTGGGAATAATAATCTACGATTCACAAATGCTTTTGGGAACTTATTACAGAGATCTGAGAACGCTGTATGGCGGCTATCTCAGGATTTCAGGAAGATCTGACGCGAGCATTCAAAGACATTAATCAAAAAAGGTAGGAGTTTTTGAGTAGCAGTCGAGTTCATGAGCAAATCCGACGGTTTTGCGGATAGTGTCATGGAATGGAAGAAGTATTGAGATTCACAAAGTGCGTTAAATTACTCCGAAATCCTAGTACTTTTACAGCTTTTGTCGCAGTGTTATGTTGTTACATATATTCCTAAGAGAACTGAGTGGTGGGCAAAAACACAGCTTCAAGCGGGAATCGAACCCGCGTTTCATTCTATCCGGGACGCGTACTTTACCACTACACCATCAAAGCACATTTGCCCGCACACTCATTCTTCATCATCTCTATGTTAGCTGTCAGCCACCAACATTTGACAGGTTCGTTCCGGTATACGATTTCACTTCATAAACCCAGTTGAGGTGACAGCCACTGTTAGATCTAATACTCCAAAATTCTTTTGTTTTTACTCAACTTGGTTTATAAAGCGAAATCGCATACCCGATCGAACCTGTTAAAGGTTGGTGGCTGATAGCTGACATAGAACGTTGAAGAATGAGTGGTCGGGCAAATATGCCTCGGCGGTGTAGTGGTATAGCAGGCTTCCGCGGACAGGTGAAACGCGGGTTCGATTCTCGGCTGAGGCCGTGTTTTTGCCCAACACTCAATTTTCTAAGAAATATACGTAATAATAGGTGATGTGGAGAACCCCCTCTATTCAAAATGATTACTTTGAGCTCTGAAAATAGTACTACTTCGTCCTAGATTTCGGCGAGGTTTCCATCACGAGATGGAATATTTCTCCACTAAAACTATTAAGGAGAAAAATTCCACAGACTGAAAGCTATCAGAAAGTAAACAAAGACGTGCTGACTACTATCAGCGATTTTAATTGCTTTTGGAATTCGCCAATGAGCGAAAAAATCGGGTATTGAAAAAATTATCTAGACGGAGAACCGCTGCACTTACGAGCCATCTGATTGAAAACTTACACAAATTCTCAATAGTATAATACATGTCCAGATATTTGCTACAGCAGAGTTTGACAGCAATACATAATCTGCCAGGTTTGATCTGGTAGTCTAGTGCAACATATAATCTGGAGATAGGGTGGCGCAGTCTACCAGAAAGCAAAATGATAAGCAATACGTTGCCTGGATCCACCTTCCCAACACTCTTTCAATCACTCAATGAGCACTTTAGAGAACACCTTAGCTCGGTTACCGATTCTAAGGAGAATCATCTCGATCAGAATTCCACAACATGCATGAAGAAAACGTAGTCTTCAAGCAGCCGAAGCAACACGTGAAATGTTCGAAGGTAAACCTTTGTGGAGGATGCGAAGTGCGTGGAAAACGAATTGAGTACAAGAGGTGCGGATCCGCACAGTAATTTGTGACAACAGATTGTTTTGAATCTGGTAGATATGAGTTGTCACCCGTTTATGTAGCCATCATGTACATTCCGTGTTTATTTTCTTTTCAATTTTTTTTGGGAAAAATAAGAACGCTAGGCTCTTTACTGAACATGATTCACCTAATTGTAGCGCGATAATGGCGCGATCATTTTCCGATAACAGCTGATAATCACTTGATAAATTTAGTACTCGTGGAAGAGCTAACAGACGGTATTCGAATGTGAATGAAGGGTGTAACACTCTCAAAAGATTGCTACTATTGTTCGCAATCTAAAATTCAGTTCTCAAAGAGTTGGAAAACCTATATAAAATATAAGCATTTGGTTACGGAGCCTTTTTCGCTTTTCCCTTGGACTTTCACAGGTCATTCAATAGTTCGAGGTCAGCGCTTTCAACAGTGTACTTGATTTACAAATGGTCTTTTTAGCGCGCTGTAGCAATCGAACGAAGATTATTTTCAACCTTTGGCACGTATTTTTTGCTCGACAAGGGTTTGTGGACGATTTTTCAGTAGAGTTCAAGTATTTCTTTGATAATTTGAAAAAACGCTGATTCTGAACTAGATTTGGTTTTTGAAAAGTTCTTCATAAAAAGGATAAAGCTCTCGGCGTTGATCAATCCCTGAGGGATGCGCCATGCATTCGTCTTCAATTTTTAACTTCGTTTGAGGTGATTGAATGCATCTCTAGCCATTACAATGACTCGCGGTGGCCTCCCGCTGAACCGAGTCCGTGCTGCTTATCCTCCCAGACGAGTCTGAGACCAGCCTGGTACCAATTTACCGACCCCGGAGGGATGGATGGCCTGGTGAGACATGAGCGCGAGATTGAACCATTGACCTCGTGTGCGATACAGAGCACCTCTAACCACTGCGGCACATGCGCTATAAAGTTCTTCATACAGCAATGAAAATATTACGTTTCGCATTCAGCGAAATGCTCACCAAAAGCATGTGGTCGTGTAGAGCAAATCATGCTATATCAGAAGGTCACAAAAGATCTCTAAAATTTTCTGAATCTTTTCGCTATTTCACAGAAATTTCCAAGGTTTCTCGCATTTCAACTGCAGAAGAGACTTTGTTCTATCGTTTTATAGGTTTTATCTTCCTTACTTTTGTTGATCTCATATGTTAGACGGCGGCAACAAATGGGAAACCGATCCCTTTCACCGGACAAGAATTTTTCATGAGAGTGTTATTGATTGATTGATTGATTGATTGATTGATCAAATCATTGATCAAATCTTTGGGTAGAGCCGTACGTCGACGTTTGCTTGAAAATACCCTTTTAATACGGTGTAGAATTCAAAGTTGAGAACTCAATATCGCTGAGATGGCAGCGATTGAACAACGGGATTTCGACAACTACGGGACGTTGCTTATAGCACCGAATACATCGTTGTTACTGAACGGCTCTCGTCCTCGCACTTCCGTTACAAAGTTTAACCCATTGGGGCAGCGTGCACTCATTTGAATACACGCGTACTTCCCCTGATTTCTCGCCGTGCAGGGCTTCTCCATAAGATTTTCGGTAGTCATTCGATAGCCTGGAAAACGGCGATGTCAGCAGAGTACTTGATTTCCAAAAAGGTCTTCCTCAGCACTAAATAGCAACGAAAATGAACTACGCATGTGGTCCTTTATAAGCGTGTCCGCCAGCGTGGGTCCACGGTAGTCACCCGGTTAATGAAACGAAACGAGAATAGACCGACTTGTCGAGACTAGGATTTCAAAAAAACTCATTGCAATGGAATAATTGGACTCGCATTGTCTTTGATAAGACGAGAGAGTGCGAAGTCGTCTTCTTTACGAACGATAAAGTCCACTGCGTTAGTTCAGATATCACGTAGGGAAACAAGCCGAGAAGAATAGAATTTTGGCCTCGTGTGAGTCATATATGACTCATATATTCGCTAAAGAGCCAACGTTTGTGTCGGGTGGCGCAGGTTTTTGCCGTGGCGCACGCTTGTCATCATTGTCGTCCGCCCGTTACCGCATCGTCTTTCTGAGTACATCTTACGATGAGTCCAGGGAACGTGGAGTTCTCAATTCCTTGTGCTCTGGTCGGGAATCGGTAAACATTTTTCAATGTTTTTTTTCTACTAAATAATTCTGCAAATTAAATAAATAAAATTGAATTCAAAAAATGAGTTCAAAAAATTCGCACCTTCCGTCTCGTCGGATGTCGGGAGACTCGTTAGTTTTTTTGAAATTTTCTTGTCACGTTTTTTTCTTTTTTTCTCAAGTTGCACGACCCCGTCATCACAATTCGGTGGTGCGGATCGATCCCAGCACCTCTTGCGTTGTAAATGTGGGTGACCGTCTTACTCGATCCTCCACAAAACGCTTCAAATATTTCACGTGTCGCTTTGAATGCGCGCGCTGCTAGAGGATCTCGTCTTCCTTATAGATATTGTTGTGAAATGCTGGTTGAGGCGAGACGTTCTCGAAGGCGTCTATTGATCTGCTGCAAAAGAGAAAGTGGTGGCAGGGATCGAACCAGCGCATTCCCCCTATCACTGTGCTCACGAACTCATCGCATCATTAGCCACTGCGCTACATTTTCCTCTCTGTACTAATGACACTTTTCAGACACTCTATTGATCCCTCTTCACAGTGTTTCCTTTTTTCCATTGTCCGGATCCCAGTACTTCTGGCATTCAATCCTTTTATTTGTCTTCTTATTAAATATCGTAGAATACTCTGGCAGAGTGAGTCTCCTTGCAATTTCGAGGATAGCCTGGCTATTGCGTTCCATAGGGTGTTCGTTGTTGACCGCCGGAGAGAGCTGGGGTGGAGCTCGGCTCCACGTGCGCAGTGGACGAGCATAACAACCACTCGGCCACGGTGCCCACTGTACTAATGATAATGGTAAATTAAAGTAGAAGTGAGTGATATTTTACGAACCAGGGAGACAGCAGAGTGCTCCAAATGGAATGTTGTTTTTTTAGAGAGTATGAGGCAATAAGCATCTTTGAAAATGTAGTTCTTCGGCAAAAAAAAATTATTTCACCACTAAATTTGGGGATAAAATCTCGCTTACGTCGTTAGAGATCGGAATCTTCTCCATCCGGCACTTCTCTCCGCTCTTTGGAAATCTCTTGCTTATTAAAACATCAATATGAAGGCGTCAGTAGTGCAACGGGTTAGATCTCGCGCTGCCGGATGGAGTGAGATGAGGGTTCGAATCCCAGCTGACGCAACAGTTTTGCACATTGCTCTGCATCATTGTGGATATCTGTGACATCGACACTGTCAAAAAATGATTCGATTTTAAAAAAAGTAGACTTATTATCAATGAAAACCTTGTCTACTGCAGCAGATTGCACTCTATTCGCTCGAAGTAGCCGCCTCCCTGTTTTTTTTTTTTATTAAATCTTGAACAGATCAGATATTACAAATATACCCAATGATATAGAGTGGTGTGCAAAACTTCTGCGTCAGCCGGGACTCGAACCCGCATCTCACTCTGTTCAGTGGCCCGTGCTCTCTAATCCGTTACGCTACCGACACCTGTTTTGCTACTACTCTTTCTACGCTACAACGCAAGTTCAGATATTGGTTTCTTCATCCACCACTTTCCAGGTTGCATCCGCTGAGAATAAGCCTCGATCGTTATGTGGAGACGTCATCGTGGGCGATTCGTTGTGCTTCGGCAACTGAGCCAAGTGCCCTGTTTCTTGGAGAGGTCGGCTCCGACGAGGCGATCAACTGGATTTCCACGTTCCAGCGATTGTGCTCGTCTTCGTATTCGGACACGAGGTTCGGTCCCCAGAAGTGTTATTTTTGCTTTTCTTTTGGACTTTTTTTGGGTACTTATCAATTAGAATTCATATCGGCGGATAAATGAATGTTCGACCTCATTCCCTGGACAAGAATTATTTATATAGGAGCGTTAGT